GGTGAGGCAGATCAGTCGCCGGCTTCTGGCTGGCCGCTCACTGCGGCTGCTAGCCGCTCACGCTGGCTGCTGGCTACACACGGTAGCCCATGGCAGCCCACAGCAGTAGCGGCTGCAGCCTACACCGTCGCAGCGACTCAGGGCAGCCTAGCTCCAGGTTGAGCTGTTGTGCAGCATCTTAGCTGTAGAGGGCAGTGTCACTGGCCCTCATATGTGGGATCCAAACCAGGGCCCTCTGGCGTCCCAAGCCAGTTCTTAACCAACGCGCCACTCGGCCGGCCCTAAAGAACATTCTTAAAAGCAGCCAGGCAGAAAAAAAGGGAACTTTACTTTAAAGGGAATAATGCCCAAAACTCAGCTCTCATCAGGAACAACAGAATACTGCCTTTAAAATGGCAATAAAAGGGCAGCCAGTTAGCTCAGGTGGTTAGAGCACAATGCTCATAACACCAAGTTTGCCCGTTTGATCCCCGCATGGGCCACGGAGCTGTGCACCCCACTAGATTGAAGATAACTACCTGACTTGAAGCTGATAGGTCCTGGAAAAACACAGTTCCCCAATAAAATTTCTAAAAACATAAATAAAATGGCAAAAGAAAACCCCAAAACAAAACCCAACCCCAAACCACCTGCCAGCTGAGAATTCCACTCCCAGTGAAAACATCCTTCATTAATGCAGGTGGAATAAAGCCATTTTCAGGCCCCAAAGCTGAGAGAATTTCTTGCTGACAAACCCATAAGTCCAGGGAGGTCCTCTGGATGCACGTTTGCATTTTAACAAGCTCACTGTCAGTTGAGCCTGCAGGAAGGTCTGCTGAGCCACTATGGCCTTGCTTCATGTGTCAGTTTCGTAAAGTCCAGTGACAAATTCTCTTGCCTCTGTACATTGTTTTGTCTACGCTGGTGGCTACAAGGATTATCATCGCTAACACAGAATCACTTTACTAGGCTGTGTCTTGTCGGCAATGGTTCTCCAATTCCCCCAGGTATCACAACATGGAGATGCGGGCCCTTTTCTGTGCCTGGAAGGTTTCCTTGGACAAGGTTTAAACATTCTTGTTTTCTTAAAAGTTCTGGTTTTCTTCTTCAAAGACTCAGACATGTCCTGCCTTCTCTGCCTGCGTGCCTTCACCCTTCAGGGTCAGTCCCTCTTCATCCTCTTATTCCGGTGTCAAGTCCCTTTCTCAAGCCTTGCTCGCCGCAGTCTTGGCACTTCCACTGTATTCTGCAGTTCCAAAATCACTTTTTTTTTTTCACATTTCCTTCCTAAATTCAAGCTGCTGTTTTCAGTTGTCTCTTGCCCACTTCTGTCCTTAGTTTTTGAATGTCTGATCCTAGATTGTTTTCACAACTTCAAGTGGTGTTGGGGACAAGTCTTGCTGTATTCCTGAGCTTGGCTGGTTTCCTGTCCACAGTAGAGGACCACAGTCTGGATTAGCCCTGGTCTCTTCCTCTGCCGACAAGGACACCAATCCCATCACTGGGGTCCCACCCTATGACCTCATGGAACCCTGTCACCTCCCAAAGGCCCCACCTCCTAACACCATCCCTCTGGGGATGTGGGAAGACACATTCAGTCCACCAAGGAGATAGGTTTTCCTGTCTGCCGCTCCCAGCCACCTCCCAGTTGGTGCTGTTTGGTGCGCTCAAGACACACCATCCTGACGCAGCTGGTGCCTGGTCGAGAGGACACGCTGTTAGTTAGCGCTTCAAAGGCACAGTGTAGTCAGCAAGGTGACCTGCTGCCCTTCCATTCCCGTGTCTGTGACCTCTCCCCTTATCATTAGGTTGATGGTGGTTTTTCCCACTTACCCCCCAACAACATGACCAAACCTAGCTCTCACAATGTAGTTCTGTTACTTTGTTTCTTACCATCCATTTCTCCCTGGCTACCCCCGCCCCCTCACATTTTTTGTCACCACCTCCTAGTCTGTCCCTTCCCAGGGACATGTACGTGGGCATCTGTGCTGCTGCCCCTCTCAGCCAAGCCTCTGGGAAAAACTGAGATAACACACTTGGAACTGATTTCATTTTATTTTTTTAAAAAAAGCCCCTAAGTTCTATGGCTTCCAGGAAGCATCAGAGAAACGGAAGTGCCATTTCTGTACACTTTGTAAAGCAAGACCTAGACGCAAACGCCGCCGCCGGCACTCCAGCTGCTCCGCAGGCAGCACGGCGGCCTCCAGGGGACCCGGAGAACCCCCCTCTCCTCCCACAGCCCGCGGGCTGTGAGGCCGCCGCAACTGCGGACTGGGATGGGGCTTTAAGGCGCTTGTCTCCCGCCGCTCCGCAGCACTGAGTGTGGGCACAAGAAGCTCCAGCCGAGTGCCCATGCGGATGACCGCCCTCCCAGCTCCAGGAGTAGGTGTGGCAGGATACCTGCGGGCCACACGGCCCCCCCAAGCTTTGGTGCAGCATTTTGTTTGGGGGCGCCTCCCCCGGCCCAACCTTCCCCTTTGGTTTGGGGAGGCCCAGGGCAGGCGCACCCTCGCAGCAACGCCCCACAGTGCCCCCTCGAGAAAACGACCTTTGGATTGAGCGAGACAAGCTGGACTTTATGACACTAACAGCGCACGTGGCCAGGGCCTCCAGGTCACACTACTCACTTCAGCAGACACAGTGGGAGGGGCGCAGGGCAGGCGGCCGCTGTTTTTCTTTTCCTCGTTTTAAATAGTTAATGCTCTTGGAGGGGAGGACTAAACACAGGTGTAGAAATTTCGGCCGAAGTCTTATGTGAAGGGAGCGATCCGTGCGGGGCGGGCGGGCGGCTCTGAGCCCGCCTGAGTCCTGGCTGTGGCCACCGCGGGCCAGCTTCCCCAAGGACGGCGGCGGGCGGCGCAGAGTGAGCGCCGCCGCCAGGATCACTTGTGTCTCTGCAGCGATTTCCTCTTTCTCCTCTTGAAGAAACAGCAGCACCTGGGGCGGAGGGGGCGGGGTGAGGGCATGAAAAGTGAGGCAAGTGGGTCCAAGGCGTCCCCGCCCCCAGCTGTTACCCTGGCCTTACTTGGTGTCGTCGGCCACCTCCACCTCTGCGGGAGCTGTGATGGGGGCGTTGGAGTGACCAGCGGTGGGGTCGTCTGCATTCAGCTCCCCGTTGGTGGAGTTCAGTGCCTGGGTGGGGGATGGGGGGCCGAGGGCAACAGGGGAGTCACGTGGGCTGTGATCGCCACCACTCCCCGCCCCGCCCCTGGTTGTTGGGGTCCTTGGCCCCGCTCCTCACCTGGTTTTTGCTATACAACTGGGCTTTGTCCCGAGGCTGAGTTTGCGAGGGAAGGTCGGTGTGGACTGTGCCGATGGGCGTGGGCTGCAGGGCGGCAGGACGCGACGCTAAGGCTGGGAGCCATTGCAACCCCACAAACCATGGTCCCAACTGAATCCGCACCAAGGCTCCCAGTGCCTGGGTCCTCATCCACTATCTGGGTCCTCATCCACGTTCAGGGCCCCGCCCCCCACCCAGGCCCCGCCCCCACATACCAGGGGCTTCCCGGCCCAGTCGTACTCATAATCGAACACAAAGCCGCTGCGGTCGAAGAGGTCAGTGAAGAGCTTACGCAGGTAATCGTAGTCGGGCTTCTCAAAGAAGTCCAGGCGCCGCACGTAGCGCAGGTATGTGGCCATCTCCTCTGCAGAGAGCCGGCAGGGCGGGGGTGTGGACATGGGGGGCAGACACAGGACACTGGGAGCACCGGGCAAGGGGGCAGCCCTCACCTGGGAAGCTCTCACAGAGCACCTCGATGGGCGTGGCCCGCTTGGTGTCCCCTATCTTCTGGTAGCGCTCTTTGAGCGTATCCGCCTGCAGGGAGAGCAGTTAGTGTTGCTGCTGGCAACCCCAGCCCGCCCACCCCTGGCAAACCCCAGCCCACCTTGAGCCCCTGCCAGGGCAGGCTGCCGCGCAGGAAATACATGAACATGTGGCCCAGCGCCTCCAGGTCGTCGCGACGGCTCTGCTCTGCGGGAGGACAGCAGGTCAGCGCGGCCCACGCGCCCCCCCGCCCGGCCTGTGCGCCGCTCACCCTTGCCCAGATGCGTGTTGATGCTCATGTAGCGCGCCGTGCCCGTCAAGCTCTTGTGTTCGCGGTACGGGATGTGCTTCTTGGTCTCGGGGTCAATGTACTCCTTGGCCAGGCCAAAGTCGATGATGTGGATGGCATGCTGCCGCTTGCTCCCCGGGCGCCCCACCAAGAAGTTCTCAGGTTTCACATCGCGGTAAATGAGGCTCTTGGTGTGCACGTACTCCATGCGTGTGATCTGGGGGCAGGCCGCAGTGTCTCCACTGGCCCAGGCCCCACCCATACCTCTCTGCCCCGGCCCCCACCCGCCTAGCTCTGCCACCCACCCCTTCCCCAGCCCAGGGTCCCCTTATCTGGGGTCCCGCAGCCCGCACCAGCTGGATGGCGATCATGAGCACCGTCTTGAGCGTGAACGTGCGGTCGCATAGGTCGAAAAGGTCCTCCAGGCTGGGCCCCAGCAGCTCCAGCACCATGGCATTGTACTTCCCGCATGGGCCAAAGTAGTAGACCTGAGGGACGCCCTCTGGGGGCGGAGCACACAGATGCCTATGGCAGACTGCAGCGAGCCCCCACTGAGCCCCGCTGACCCACTGAGCCCCGCTGAGTACCTGCGGTGCTGAGCTGCTTGTAGAAGCGGTACTCCAGGTGCAGCTGTGGTGCCCGGGACTTGATGGGCTCCTGGAGGGCCAAGGCATGAAGTGGCGAGTTACCTGGAGTGTGGTACCCTCCTCCCCTCCTCCCGCCCCAGACCCCACCAAGATGGGCCCCACATGGGGACAGTATCTGCTGTTGTGGGGAAGGGCCCATACTCACCAATTTGATAGCTACATATTCATTTGTATAGAGATTCTTTCCTGTGGAGGAGAAAGGGAGTCAGGACGTTAGGGCCACCTGTCCCCCATTTACCCTCACCTCAGCAGGCAAGACACCCTGAGTGACCCACTGACTCCAAGGGGTATCTCCTGTTCCCCAGCAACGCCCCTTGAGCTTGGCCCTGTCTTCCCAGATCCTAGGAGTAAAAAGGATGCCCGCAAGGGACCTGCACCCAGATGTAGGTGTCCCCATCTGCCCTGTACCCTCACCTCCTGGGCCCCCACCCTGCCTTCCTGCTGCCTTCTCCTCCCCAGCTCTGACTCGCCTCCCTCTCTGTGTTCTAGACCCCAGCCCAGAGCTCACCCACATACCTGCCATTCCCACCTCCACCCACCCAAGGGGCCGTCCCCAACTCCTCACCTGTATAACCCGATTCAGTTCTCCCATCTACAACAGTGAAAATGGAACAAAGACCCTGCGACCCACAGCCCCTCTCAGAACCCACTGCAGCAAACCAGAGATGTCCCTGACCCCTAAGCATCTCCCCTCCCCCATGTCCACCTAGCAGTATGCTCAAAGCCTCCTAGACTGGAGACTGGAGGTGGCAACTATTGGGTCGTTGGGCAAGTCATGACGGATTTTTGCACTGAAAAACAGAGAAAAATACTTTCCTGATGACCCAATAGCTTGGACCAGCCCATGTCCCCAATCCTGTGCTCATCCAGAGGGTCCATCCCACCAATGGACGCCCCCCTGCTTCCCCTCCTCACCCCCTCGCTTGGTAATGCCAGCACCTTCCTCCCCCATCCTCACCATGGCTGTGAAGTAAGAACCCCTGGCCAGAAGCCCCGAGGGAGGTTTGTCATGGCATGCAGAGGAATACCCCTAGGTGCCCTGCGTCCTCCTCCTAGAAGACCACCCTGGTCGGTACTGGGACTTCATGCTGGACCCCATGGCAGCCATGTCAAGTAAGACCCTGCCCACAGACTGCCAGGCCATCTTCCCTGGGCAGCAGAGCCTGGCAGGCCTTCCAGGTTAGAAAGAACACCTGGGGAAGGCCTTGCTGAGCCTACCCACCAGGTCCTCCAGGTGCCCAGAGAGAAAGAGCCACCAATGTGCCCAACCTCACGGAGCTGCACAAACATGAGTTCCAGAACCTGATGAAGTCCAGTTTTTGTTTGTTTGTTTGTTTGTTTTTTAAAGATTTTTTATTGGTGAATTGGGGGGATGGGAACAGTGCTGGGAAACTGGGGGAAGGGGGACAGACAAGTTGCTGTCGTTTTGTTCTTCAGTCTAGTTGTGGAGGATGTTGCTTCACTGGCCCAAGTTGGCACCATCATTGCGCTCTTCCCGGGTGAGGCACATCCATCGCCGGCTTCTGGAGGCTGCTCACTGCGGCTGCTGGCCGCTCACGCTGGCTGCTGGCTACACACGGTAGCCCATGGCAACACACTGCCACAGGGACCGCAGCCCACGCAGTCGCCGGCGACTCACAGCAGCCCAGCTCCAGGTTGAGCCGTTGTTCAGCATCTTAGCTGTAGAGGGCAGTGTCACTGGCCCTCATATGTGGGATCCGAACCGGGGCCCTCTGGCATCCCAAGCGAGTTCTTAACCACCGCGCCACTCGGCCGGCCCTGAAGTCCAGTTTTTTACCTGTTAGTTCCTAATGCTGGTGGAGCCCCAGATGGTCCAGTCACCACTGCTAGGTCACCTGCCACACAAACAAGGGGCTGCCCAGCCCCTCATGTGCATTTGTGAGTTACTGTGCACAGTGCCACGTACACTCACACCATCATCTCTGGTCCAGTGGCCTCTTCCAGCACTGTCCTGTCCTGACTTTGTTCTGGGACCTCCTTTGCTGGGTCCTGAACGCCACAAACACAGCCCCACACCGTGTGCCCACACCTCTAGGTCTCAGCTTACTCTCCATTCTGCCAAAGCTGGACAATCTGGGTGACATCTGCACTCCAGCCGTTCCTGCCCCACTCATATGGCAGCAGTGACACTATGTTCAATCTTACAGGTTGAGGCCAAGGTTCCCCACTGTGTTAGTCTGCCCCACTGGCCCCAGTCACTGCCTCATCCCAGTGGGTGCCCAGCAGTGGGACTATATTCTGCTGGGCAGTCACTATTCTTAGGCCCTGGTTCAGAGTCGGCTTGTCAACTTCCCCTGAGCTCTGCAGGTTGTCCTGGAGTCTGCTGCTGGAGGAGGAGGTGACATCTCACACTGAACTGTCCCATCCAGCCCTGGGAATGAACTTCTCCCAGCCATGTGTTTCTCAGAGTAGAGGACTTGTGCAGCCTTTGTTAGATTTATTCTATAGGCACGCATAGGCTTTGGCACTCACAGATTGGCACTGTTTTTACCTCTTCATTGTCCAACTGTTTGTTGCTTGAGTAGAAAAATACAGCCAGTCTCAGTGCTGGTATGACCAGCAGCCTTGCTAAACTCATTCTCCTCTGCTTGCTTACTGAGATTATTCTGGCTTCTACATGGGCATGATCGGAAACTGGTCAGTTGTATTTCTTCTTTTCTAATCTCTTTACCCTTTATTTCCATTTCTTGCCACTGTCCAGAAGGGGTAAGCGGAGGTATCTAATCATTATAACATAAGGCTTTTCAGAGACATGGTTAATTAGAAAAGAACGCCCCCTTCTAGTCCTGGTTTCTGGGTTTTGACTAAAAATAGGTGCGCCTCTTGTATTTTTACCCCGCCATTTTATTATGGAAGTTTCAAGTACAGAAAATGGAAAGAACTGTGCAGTGAACAGCCATATCCATACCGCCTAGATTACACAGTGAATTCGATACCTGTTCTATTGCACATCTATCACCTATGAATCTCTGATTTTAGATAAATGTCAAAGTTGCAGACATGAGTACCTCGCCCCTAAATACTCCAGCCTGCAGGCCAAGTTCAGTGTGTACTTATAGTTCTTGTTTGTCCCATGGGAGATGAAATGCACAAGTGAAGTATGGCATCTGATGAGCTGTGGCCAGGGCATGATTCTGTGCAACCCCCACCCTTACTAAGACCAGAGACCACCCCCACTGCTTACGCCCCTTCCTGGTTCCCACCATCTGCACCAAGGTGGAACCATCCGGCATGTTCTCTCCCCCTGGCTCTTTCACACGGCACTAGGCATTCAAGATTCCTGTACTGAGGCGTGTCCATGGTTCCTGTTGACAGCTAAGTGGTGCCCTACCCCATCACAGGGACATACCCAGTTACCATGGGGGATACCTGGGTGGTTTCTGTTTTCTATTACAAGCAGAGCTGTAGTGGATATTGCCTACGGGCCTTTCTGTGGGCAGGCTGGTTGCTTCTCCAGCAGGTTTGCTGGCTCATCTGCAAATATGGGGCGTTACTCGGTGGGTGCCTTCCATGCTCCCAGCCATTTGTCTGTCTGCTCAGATCTCATGCCCAGTTTTAAGTGTCTGTCCTTTCATTACTGAATTGTCATTCTTTCACGTATCCTGGACACCAGCACTTTGTCAAACGGTGCTCTGAAAACACTTCCTCCAGTCTCTGGCTTGCCCATTCCCACTCTTAACGATGTTTGTGATAAGCAGATTTTTTTTTAAAGATTTTTTTTATTGGGGAATTGGGGGAAGGGGAACAGACAAATTGCTGTCCTTTTTGTTATTCAGTCTAGTTGTGGAGGACGTTGCTTCACTGGCCCAAGTTGGCACCATCACTGCACTCTTTCCCGGGCGAGGCAGATCAGTTGCCGGCTTCTGGATGGCCGCTCACGGCGGCTGCTGGCCACTCACGCTGGCTGCTGGCTACACACACGGTAGCCCATGGCAACCCATTGCAGCAGGGGCTGCAGCCTATGCCGTCACAGGCGACTCACGGCAGCCCAGCTCCAGGTTGAGCTGTTGTTTAGCATCTTAGCTGTAGAGGGCAGTGTCACTGGCCCTCATATGTGGGATCCGAACTGGGGCCCTCTGGCGTCCCAAGCCAGCTCTTAACCAACGCGCCACTTGGCCGGCCCGATAAGCAGATGATTTAAACACTGATGAAGTCTAACTTATCCCCTATAGTACTTGGTCATTTTATTCTGTTACTTGTTGAAGAAACCTCATTTTTTTACTGCACGTGAGTTCTGGGAAAGACCAAGTCCTTTAGGTCCAGCCTCAGATTAAGGTGAGTGTGTGTATAAGCGTGTGTGTGTGCACGTGTGCACTTAGGCATCCGGAGTCTGCATGTACAGACTCCTGGGGAAGTGGAGGGCTCTGGGCACCAAGAGCTTCACTAACACTCAGGTTAGCAATTTCAGTTGTGCATGCAGAAGGTGAGTCCGCAAGGCCTGGCAGAGAACCACTCCTGAGGGGCTGTGAGCAGGAGGAAGATTCCGGGGGCTGCACAGATGGGAAGACACTGAAGCTGCAGCCGTCCAGAGTAGGGCAGCCTTCTCCCTGCTCTCCCCTGATGTTAGGCTAAGAACCCAGAAAGCCCACACGTGGCGAGAGAAGCGACCCCAGCCTTTGAATAACATCTGTTCTCAGCCTGTCCCAAAGAAGCCAAAACCAGTCCCTGACAGAGTCAAGGTAAGTCATCAAGACAAACTTCAATCCAGACTTAAAAGTCTGTGACACGTGGCACCCACAATGTCCAACATACAATAAACATTGCTAGGGGTGGCCAGGTGGCGCAGTTGGTTAGAGCGCGAGCCTGAGCAACAGGGTCACCAGTTTAATTTCCACATAGGTGAGTGAGCTGCGCCCGAGCTGAGCTGCGTGCTCTTAACAACAAGGTTGTCAGTTCGACTCCCGCACGGGATGGTGGGCTATGCCCACCTGCAACTAGATTGAAAGCGGCGACTGGACTTAGAGCTGAGCTTGTGCCCTCCACAACTAAGATTGAAGGACAACCTGACTTGGAACTGATGGGTCCTGGAAAAACACATTGTTCCCTTCCCCCAATTCCCTAACACTGTCCCCTTCTCTAATTCCCAAATAAAATCTTTAAAAACAAAACAAAACATTGCTAGACACATGAACAAGAAGAAAATAGGACTGTAACAAGGAAAATGAAAGTCAAAGGCACCACAGACGTTGGCATTTCTGAGAGCTACAAGTACATTCAAAGATTTAAATGTAAAGGGCAAAATGAATGAGCAGATGGGAAATCTCAAGAAATAGGGAAGCCAAATGCAAGCGAAAAATATTGTGTATGAAATGAAAAATTCACTGAAAGACTCCAACAATAGATTGGACACTGCAGAAACAAAGAAGGGTGAACTTATAACAGGGCAATAAAAACTGTCCAGACCGAAGCAAAAAGAAAAAGGCTGGCAGAAAATGGAAAAGAGCTGGAGCAACCTGTGGGACAGCAATAAACACTCATAACATATGTGTAATTGGAGTCTGAGAATGAGAAGACAGTAAAGTGAGGCAGAAAAAACATTTGGAGAAATAATGGCTGAAGTTTTTCCAAATTTAATAAGAAAGTGCAATATACAGATCCAAGAAGCTCAATGAACCCCAAGCAGGATAAATACAAAGAAAACAACACCTAAACAATGGAGAATGAAAATCTGAAACCAAAGAAAATCTTCAAAACCACCAGAGAAAAAGACACATTACATACAGGGGAACAATGCTCCACATCAGTCATCAAGGAAATGCAAATAAAGCCCACAGCGAGATACCACCTCACACCCACTACCATGCACTGCCTGGAAAAGCCCGACAACCCCAGTCGTTGGTGAGCGTGTGGGATGCCCAGAATGCCCAGACGCTACCCACAGGAGTTTAAGGCTTACTACTGCTCTGGAAATCGGTCTGGCAGTTCTATCAAGACTTACCTCCCCCCAGGGGCCAGCCGAGTGGCTCAGTTGGTTAAGAGCTTGCTCAAGAGTGCGAGCTCTGAGCAACAGTGGTTCGAGTCCTGGCCTGCTGAGCTGCCAATAGGTGGCAGGATGGCTCAGCTAAAAAAAAACAAACAAAAAAACAACAAAAGACTTACCTCCCCCCGTGACCCAGTGCTTTAACGAAAACACTCGTACGTAAGACTCGGAGAAGGAAGTGCAGGGCAGTTTTATTCACAATAGCCAACACCTGGGCACAGCCAAATGTCCTTATGCAGGAAAACAGATGAACAAACCAGGATGCAGTCACACGCTACCGACACACACAACAACATGGAGACTCTCAAAAACAGTGAGCAAAAGAAGCCAGGAGGAAAAGAACACATATCTCAATTTTCAAAAAATGTTTTAAGCCAAAAGCTGCTACCCACCATGGCCCGCTACACACCCTCTCATCTATGCAGACCTGTACTGTTTAGGCTGCTGCTCCAGATGCTGAAGGACAGAACCTATGATGCCATCTGAGTCCCCAAAGCCATACAGGGCCCCCCAGGCTGCAGGTCAGGACTGGGCCCGGGGGCATGTGTGTGTTTGGAGGTCTGTGTGTGCCTGCATGTGTGCATTCACACACACAGATACCCTAACAGAGCAGCAGGATGGCTCCATCCAAGGGAAGCTGGAGTTGGCTGCCATGCTGCTAGGGCCCTGCTATGCAGGCCAGGCAGGGAGGGTGCCTGTCTGTCCCGCACCCACCCGCCCACCAAGTCTCAGTGACTGATGTGACGGCCCTGCCCACCAGCAAACAGAGTTGGGCACCCAGCCCCTGGTGGTCCATGGGCTCAGAAACCCCAAACCTGGAGCCGCCTACAGCTCCCGAAAGCCAAGTGCTAGACAAGTAACTGAGCTTGCAAGTGCTCCTGGACCCACCAGCTTAGAACTGACAGTTTCTGTGTTGGCCCTCCTGTGTATGAGCCTGGACCCCCCAACAAAACTGTTCCTCAGACACGCAGGGGTGAGGTAGGGAGTCCACTCCCTGTGCACAACATCCTCCTCAGGGAGCAGAAACTCACACACTTACCTGTGTCCCAGTCCCGATAATCAGAGGGGCCACAAACCGGTTGGTGGCCTTCCTTCTCCCCTACCCATCAAATGCAAATGACTGGGGCTCACCTAGCCGGAGCTCCCCGAAGTTGCCACAGCCTATCTTCTTCCCAACCCGGAAGTTGGGGCCCACCATCAGGACCCCCGAGCTGGTCCCTGTGCTCCGGACGCTGTGGCTGGTCCGGCCACCGGTCTTGGACATTCTCCGGCCCTCCTCCGACTCCCCTTTCCCTCCTTTCTTGTCAAAATCCATAAGTTTGTGGTACCCTGGCCTCTCCACGGTGACTCTGCTGCCGTACAAATCCCGGGTCTGTGGAGACCTGAGGTTGCGGGCGGCTCTTCGGAGCTAGTACACCATGGCACCTGGCAGACTCCTGGCTAGTGAGACGCGGGCGCTTGTGAGGGCCAGGCCTTGGTACTCATCTCGGTGGCCTCAGGGTCTCGCATAGGGAGAGGACACATTCTGCTGACAGGTCCCGCTGCCTCAAATCTCGTGGCTCCCAGCTGGGGGCAGAAACAAAAGCACAGGTTAGAAGGCTGAGATCCACTCACCCACTTGCCTGCCCAAGACACAGCCTGGAGATCAGAAAACAACCCAGTAGGGCGGCATTAACTGGCGGGGCTGGTGCGGCAGGCCAGCATTCTGGAAAGATCTCTAAAGATTTAAGTGTGACCTGGCTTTTCATGGGACAGAGGCCACTGTGAATTCCAGTGTCAAAGTGGTGTGAGTCGCTTACCCACAACACAGCTGAAGGACAATTATGCTGGAAGGGGTGATGGCTAATCAAATGACAAAGGCCCCAGAACCAGATGGGAAGCCCCAACCTAGGTGCAGAGAAGAGTGAAAGCCACCTAGCCCACGGTCCCTTCCTCCAAGCCACAGGGTCACTCCTCTGAAAAGGGAAGAGGACAGATGGCAGAGCCGGGAGACAGGCCCCCACTGACCGAGGGCCTAGCCAGCTGCAGATGGAGTCATAGTGACTCGGACATGGTGACACCATGAGGCCTTGGGGGTGAGGACTCCGGGGGAACTCAACACATGACCTGGGGTTCCTCCACCCTGAGGCAGGACGGGAACCTGGGGATGATAAGAGGGCACAAGAGTGGGGGCCTCTGAGAATAGAGCCTGCTGTCAGACAAACCCTTGGCTCCGGCTCTGGCTCTGGGAACAGCCGGCTCCGAGCCTCAGTCAGATGGGGCAGACACCCCACAGGGGGAAACCCTGGCCACTTGCTCATGGAGAGGTGGGACCACACGATGACAGGGACCCAGGGGTATGTACACATACCCCAGGTGTGTGTACATGCCCTCCTCCTGTGCTTGCACACCCACATGTATGCATACCCCTACACATGCACATACTCTCCCATGCTCACACACGTGCACACCCCACACGTGTGTCCTCATCCTCCCATGCTTAGCAGTACTCTCCAGAGGGGCCACGTGTATAACCAGGCACCGGGAGGGGTCTGACCCGCAAGTGAAGCTCGAGCCTAGGCACAGCCAATGTGGAGAGGGGACGTGGCCCCACAGAACATGGAGGCTCCGGGTACATGTCGGAACCACCTGGCTCCAGCGGGCTTCAAGGAGACCATCAGCCAGCTGAGAAACTGAAGATTCTGGCACACGTGCTGCCCCACCTGGGCTCAGCCCACACGTCCCCAACACGACCCCAGTGACCCCAACTGCAGTGCATGTACCCAGGCCCCATGAGGTCCCCTTACACAGAGCAGGTATGCAGACACCTGTGGGTCACTGCCTGCAGGGGACAGTGGGCAATGGGAAACAGATGAGAGACCTGACCCCTCCCCAAGGACACCAGCCCCTGCTCACCCCACAAATAAGAGCAGCCTCCCCAGACCCAGTGGGAGGCACAGACTCGCCAACACTCTGGAAGGTGCTGCCCCACCACCCACTGGCCACATGGGGGTATGCTGGGTTCTCTCCCACAGCTCTGAGCCAGACGGAACCTGCGGGGGCCGGGGGCGGTGTGGAAATAGCAAGAGCAGATCATGCACTGGCCTTGGCCTTCAGGAAGAGGGCCCCAGGTAGGGCTAAGACCGTAGCCAAATGCCCACCCGGACCAGGGAGCCAGCAGGGCACAGCCCAGCACACCTGGGTGAAAGCAGGTGACCCAAGGACTCTGGGGAACAGAAGTGTCTGACCTCTGCTCAGGCCCAGGAGTTAAAAGTAATTATGGGGGAGGGGGCCTCCCATCCCTCACTTGGCCTCAACCCCACCAATACAACCTCCAATTCCATCCCCGGAGCCTGCCCCACGCAGGGCAGGCCCTCCAGGGGCATGGGTTCTGCATGCATTCTTGTGGCCAAGTTCAATTCCATGCTGACATGGTCCCCAGGGGGGTGGCCCCTGGAAGCTGCCGTCCTGCCCAGGTTCACATTAAGTGGGTCCTACAGAGCTGGCTTCCAGGTCAGGGCCGTGCTCCTCTGCCAGTACCTATCTCAGGTGAGTTACCTGCCCTGTTCTTTTCGGGGTCCTCCATCTTGTCAGGGCCAGGGGTCAGCTCCCCTGGCGGGGGCCCCAGGGACCCCTTCTCTGATCATCTCCACTCAGTGATGTCACAGTCCCTGACTGACATCACCAGCACAGCCCAGGCCCAGAGCAAGGGCAAGTCTGGGGCAGGTGCGGTGGTCTCCCTCCCTGGGGTGTGGCCCCTCATAAGCCACCTGGCTCCACAGTGCATGGTGGACCCCGCTGCAGGTGCCGCCTCGTAAGCACCCGGACTCAGGTGATCCTAGCTATCCTAGCTACAGCCCACATCTGCCTGGGGCTCGGTGACATATCGAGGTAGGGTCTCTTCCCCAGGATTCATCTAGGCCCAGCAACACAGTGTCCCCAGGAGCCATAAGTACCCCATGTGCCACGTCCTGGCATCTGCACACCGCTCCTTCAGAGGGACCAGGACCCTGGAGAGACACCCACCACGGGGCCACAGCTGTGAAGTCCAAGAGCACTTGCAATGTCATGTCATGGCAAAGAAGAAGTGCCCCAGGATGACTGCACAGAAGCCTGCCTGCTCAGCACTTGGTACGAGGTCAGTGTCAAAATGGATTAAGCAGAAACAGGTCATAATACACCGAGTTACAGATGAGGGAGAGGAAATAGCACCCCCCGCCATCCCACGAAGGTCGGGGGGAAACCTCCATCAGCGGGCAACACAGAGCTGAATGTGCCAAGGAGGTGGCCCAAGGTCACTTGTCAGTGATCTGGGGTGCGGGTACCAGCCGGCACCGCCCCAGAGGGCATGCCCAAAATTCTAACCCGGACCAGCTGGGAGAAAGGAGGCTGGTCTGTGAGATAAGACAGTTGTCATGCGCCTGTCACAGAAGGCACCGGAGGGTGGACTAGATGCGCTGATGCTCTTGGGAGAGGGCTGGAGATTCATAGGTGATAGTCATAGGTGGCAGGTTACTCTCACAGGGTTCAGGAAAAGCAAGCATGGCCACAGTTGGCAGTGAGCCCATGAGGATAGAGGGTACTCAGGTACTTTCCATGCAAGCTTTTGAAACGTTTTCGAAATTAAGATGACAAAAAGGCGAGGTTGCTGCTACAAGCTCCACAGCCTCAGACGATGACAACCAAATGTCAAGTGACAGTCTGGGTAGTAAAAGCGCATCTTCCAGACACTGAGGACACAGGAGTGGCCCCAGCGTGTGACGGCATTGCCTGCAGGCGCAGTGGTGACCAGGCCGTGGGCTCCACAGAGAAGCTGCTACAGTGTTACACTGAGCCCATGGGAAGGGGCTGAGTTTGTGAAACAAATGTTGGTAACTTGGCCTGGCCCAAGGGAGTCACTGTACTTTCTCCACATTTGGGCGCATTCAAAAATTTCCCCCTAAAGAGCTGAAAGGAAAATGAGGGAGCCCGGCAGGGGCAGGGAACCAAAGCTCCTGCCATGGGAGACAGGGCTCAATGACAGGTTCTGGTGTCACTGCCTGCCGCTGGTATGCATGGTCCTGGACAGAGCACATGTGGAACCTTCCATCATCTCAGAGTGCACTTTTGACAGCGCTAGCCTCTCCCCACAGCCTCCACAGACACCCAGTTAAACCCTCCTTCACACCTTCACACTGAGCTAACTGCCAGTCGAGGGGGCAGGGGTGTCCCACCCCACGTCGGTCCCTGAAGGCCCCTCATCCTGGTCTGTCCAGGCCTGTCCCAGGTATGCCTGCTGTCTGATGTAGCTCCAGCTCCAGCACTGTATCAGTCTTGGTGTGGGCTGAGATGTGTCTCCAAGACACATCCTAACCCCTGGCATCTGAGCATGTGACCTTATTTACAAGTTAGGGTGGGCCCTAATCTGTGACAATGGAGGTAGACGGAGAGATGCAGCCACAAGCCAAGGAACTCCAGCAGCCACAGGAAGCTGGAAGAGGCAAAAGGATCCCTCCCCGCAGAGCCACGGGAGGAAATGCAGCCCTGAGTTACCTTGATCTTGGACTTCTGCCTCCAGACCTGGGAGAAAAGGGGACAAAAATGGACTTCCCAGTGGAGACGCCTGACCAGCACCCCGGCCAGGAGATGAGGGTCAATGTCAGCCTTGAGAAGCCACGGGACCAGCAGAGGCCCTGACGTGACGAATGAACAAGGCACATTCCTCAGTGCAATCACGAGAAAACACTTGAAACCCCAGATTGGGGATGTCCTGCAGGACACAACGGCTCAGAGCGTCCATACAGGAGAGGTATGGAAACCGTCTCAGCAGGAGGGGCCAAGGGGACATGACCACTGAGTGTCATGTGGGATCCTGATGGGGACCTGGGGCAGAGAAGCCATCAGGGGAAACTGAGGAAATCCAAGTAAATATGGACTTTGGTTATTAATGGTGTCTCAGTCCTGGCTCATCAGTTGTGACAAAGGTACTGCACTGACGAAAGTGTGAATAAGGGGACGGGGCAGAGGACACAGGGGTCTGCACCATCGCAGTGATTCTGTGCATCTAAAACTGTCCTAAAATAAAGTTTATTTAAAAAACCCCGAGTGGTGCGTTGGTTAAGAGCTCGCTTGGGACGCCAGAGGGCCCTGGTTCAGATCCCACATATGAGGGCCAGTGACACTGCCCTCCACAGCTAAGATGCTGAACAACAGCTCAACCTGGAGCTGGGCTGCTGTGAGTCACCGGCAACGGCTTAGGCTGCAGCCCCTGCTGCAGTGGGTTGCCATAAGCTATCGTGTGTGGCCAGCAGCCAGCGTGAGCAGCCAGCAGCCAGCAGCCACCGTGAGTGGCCGTCCAGAAGCCGGCGACTGATCTGCCTTGCCCGGGAAGAGCGCAATGATGGTGCCAACTTGGGCCAGTAAAGCAACATCCTCCACAACTAGACTTATGAAAAGGACAGCAATTTGTCTGTTCCCCTTCCCCCAATTCCCCAGCGCTGTTCCCATCCCCCAATTCCCCAATTAAAAAAAAAAATTTTAATAAATAAAAATAAAATAAAATAAAAAACCCCAAGGTGGCTGGCCGAGTGGTTCAGTTGGTTAAGAGC